GGCAGCCTGGCCACTGTGGAGCTGCCCTCTGCATCCACTGCCAGCGGCCCCGCGCCTGGGCCCACGGGTCAGCCCTGCCCCGCAGCCTGTAGATCGGAGCCCCAAGGGCGATTCCTGGTGGCCAGAGGCTCACGCCGCGGCTCTGATGCCTGCATCTGGGCTCCTAACCCTTCCCGGGACGCACAGCTAGAGAAAGCCGCCTGTCCTGCCCCGCGGACGCCCGCCCGCCAGGCCCCTGAGTTGGGGAGGCTCTGTCTCTCTGGCGGAGACACACAGAGACCTCTGAAGACGGCTGTCTCTGTGTGCAATGCCGGCGAGGACTGCCCCAGCCACCGCGGAGACAGCAGAGGGGAAGCGCGCTGCTGCCAGCCCCCAGCCTGCGCGCCCAGCCCAGGCGCGGAGTACCCCCTTCCTCCTCCCTGGGGCCCAGCCCAGGGCCTCCCGGTTTTCAGCCTGAGCCTGTGGGAGCCTCTGAGGCCTGGGATGGGCTGCTCTTCTTCCTGCGCTGGCTTTTTGGGGGGAGGGCAGGGGGCAAGGCCCCAGGGACTCCCAGGCAGTGGGCAGTGGGTGACATGCCAGCCTGCCTGGCACAGCCAAGTGAGTACTGACACCGCTGGGCCCTGGAGCAAGTGCCTCCTCCAATCCAGGCCTCGGTTTCTGGCCAGTCCCACACTGGGTGTCTTGTGCTTGGGCCTCCATATTGAAATTAATTGAAAAAAAATACGTTTCTGACCTATGAAAATGTTTATGTTTTCATCAGAGGGATCACACTGTAATGAATATATTTACATCTAATTTGGAGAAAAGCAGGAAAGATGGGGAGCTCTTGGTGACACAGCTTGGCTCCTCCCTCCTCCACCCTGCGCCCTGGCTGCAGCCCACCCCACCCCAATCCCCCCGCAGCTCCTCCATCAGCCCGAGGACTTGTTGGGAGGCGATCAGTGGTTAAATCTGACCCAACTGCCTTGGGTTACCCTAGGTCCAAAGACAGAGCTCCTGAGTGCGGTGGGGAGGATGAGGGGCATTTCTGAGTGGGACCAGTTGGAGGGCAGGAGGGACTCCACACTCCACACGCCCTGTGGTAGGGCTCCGGCAGTCTGCAGGTGGGCTGGCTGGGATCATGGACCTGCAGGGCTTCTCCACAGAGCACAGGGCATTGCCTGAGCAGTGCTCTGCCCAGAGTATCCACACTCCAAGCTGGTTGTAATGCAAGCTGGTTGGAGTGTAGGAGCTCGTTAATGCGTTTTTAAAGGAGTGGGGTGAGGACCTGGAGACTTCTAGATAGCAAGTTGAAAAAGCAAAACTTTGCCAATTGCTTCTAAAAGTGACGCACTAGCCTGAAAAGGGCCTGTTTGGGGCTGGGGAAGGCGGGGGGGGGCTGTTTGAAAGGTGTTATTTTAAAAGATCTAGCTTTATTAATATGGGAAGAAAAAGCTCCTTTGGCAGTGTGTGTTCTCGAAGTGCCGCCTGTGATCTATAAAACAGCCCTGCTCTGAACGCTGTGTGAGAGAGCAGCCCCAGCACATCCAAGGAGAGGCCTGGTGGGAGGGTTCCGCCCTGACGGGGCCACTAGGACACAAACACCCTTCTGAAAAGGACCTGCTCCAGCCTAGCTCCCCCACTCCCAGGTCCCAGGCCCACAACACCCTTAAGGCCACAGCAAGGCCCTTCCACTCACCCAACACACCTGGAGGGCCCTGCATGGGACCCGTCACAGGGTATGGAAAAGGGCGAACCCTCGCCACCTCTGCAGGGGACCACAGAGGGAGCAAAGCCAGGGCTCCCAGCACTGAGGCCCCACCTCTCCCAGGGCTAGGGAGAGGCCAGACCCTCCCATCACAGGCATGAGGTACAGAGGTGCCCGAGCCAAGCTTTCCCTCCCCTGACCCTCCTCTTCTAGTGCTTCACACCCCTAGAGCCAGGCAAGACCCACATGCAGTCTCGGAAGCAAGTAGTGCCTGAGCCCGGACCAGCCATATGACCAGGTTTGCCAGCCTGAGGCCCAGCTGCACGCAGGCCCTCTAGCAGCCCACCACCACCACCCACAAGGTCACATGGGATGTTTGCAACCAAGGCTCCCTGTCGTCCCTGACCACAATGGCCCACGCAGAGCCTGGCCCTCTAAATTTACAAAAACCAAGCAGTGACTTGGTTTAGGAAATAAATCTAGCCAACTTGGTAATAGACCTTAAAAGTTTCCCCCTCTTAACCCCCCCCCACTTCTAATAAGAATTGGAGTGCAGATTAATTGGAGTATTCCTTTGCACTGATGACATCTGTCAAACAACCAGACGCATGGGTTTTGCTAAATTCTTTTATTTTTGTTTAAATTTTCACTTCAATTTTAATTCTTGAAGAACAGCCTTGACAACATATATCGCACTCATTATAAGAAGCAAAGGGTTATATCAAAAATTATTAGTATAGAATCACAGGAAATCTGGTTTGGAACCAGAAAAAAATACAAAACAGATATAGATACATAGACACAGGACAATTTTTTATAATTATTTGGAAAATGTTATTTTCCCCTAATTCTTGTTTCCTTTTTTATGTGCATACGATGTTTAAATTTTACAAAAAATGAAAATAAAGACTAGTATCTTACAAAATGAATAACCATGTTTGGGGGTGCGTGTGTGTTTCTACATAGGATTCAGTCCACTTCCATGTGTTGTTTTCTGTACAGAATATATCCACATCCGTCCACAATAAATCCTGGAAGGTCCATTAGTCTCCTTCTGTTTTATTAAAATTCTCATGGTCCTCTCTTGCAAAGATTGTTTTCTTTTTCTCACCAGACACAAGGTCCTTTTCCTTTCCTTTCCAATGTGTTCACAGATCTGATCCTAAAAGAGTCTCTTTTTCTCCTGGATTGTAGCTTGGGTTGCATTTCTGTAGGGTGGGCTGCTCCTGCCTTCCCAGCCCTCCTCCTCCCCGCTGCCCAGCCTGCCCCGCACGCTGCACCCTGCATCAGCTGCCCGGTCCCCCAGGCTTTGGAGTCCATGGCCCCCCCCGCAGGTCCTCTGAGTCTCTAAGGAGGTGGGGGCAGGTGGGAAGTGCCCAAGGATTAGGAACACTGGATGGACATGTAAGGCCAGTTGAAGCTGCTCCCAGACAGTAACATATCACGGATGAGAGTTTCGATGGGGGTTTTACCTACCAAACGGACGAAGAACAGCTGCTCGATGACTGAGGAGGACACTGTGCGCAGGGAGGGCAGGCGCAGCAGCAGTTTGCCAAAGCGGCTGGGCTGGTTAGGGTACTGGCTCCTCACATACTCCTCCAGCGCACACTGAGACTTCTCCTGCAGGCTCTCGATGTGGGCGGCATCCGACAGGCCACAGGCATCTGCCCAAGCAGCCACAGGAAGGAGAGACAAGGGGAGCGGGCACATGGTTAGGTCAGTGAACAGCAAAAGCACAAACAACAAGCCATTAAAATAATCTTTTTTGAGGAGAAAAGGAGAAAAAAAGAAATAGAAGAGAAAATGAAAGAAATCCACCCATCCATGCTTCCCCACTCTTCGACCAGCCCCAAAACAAATAAAATAAACCAAACCCCCACCAAGCCTAGGGGAGCTGGAGAGAGAAGCACACACATGCAGAGGCAGCAACCTCTCTCATCCCTTTGTTTTTCCTCGTTCACCTTTGGATTAAGTAACGTACGGTGCTGGAGCCATGTTTGCTGTGGTAGCAACCTGTCCTCTGCCTCCAGGGGAGCATCCTTCCACTGTGCTCATTAAAGGGAGGACTTTGGCCACACTCCCCCCTACTTTCTGGGTGTTCAGGAGCCCTAAATGTGCAGCCTGAAGGCAGTTCTTAAAGGCTCCGTGGAGTCCCCCTCCCAACAAATGACCCCAACCAGAAACCTTAAGGAGCACCTGGACTGTGTAGTGAACAAACACTTAAGAGCAGGCAAGGAATCATGGGCTGGCAGTGCCTGGAATCAGATCAAGCCCAGGCTTTAGCAAGAGAGGATTTGAGATCCACTATCCATGCAAGCAAGGACTCCGCAGCAACGCCTTGGTGAGGGTGTACACTGCTATCTGTGCCTTAGATCAAGTAATTGAAAATTGGTCACATCTCTGTAAACTGTGTAATAATCAGAAAGAATGTGGCTCAGTGACCCCAGGCTGCAGAAAGGAGACATCTTTCGTGATCAGACACAAAGCTGGGTTAGAGGCAGCAGCAGCTGCTGCTGCTTCAAACTGGAAGATGGGGAGTTGAGGGGGGATCTGGGGAGATAGGCTTCCTTTACAGGACCAACGAGGGGGGGTACCTACAGGCAAGGACAGCATCTCAAATCCTATGTGTTTATCTCACATCAACCAAGGCTCCTCTTGGTCTCCTGAAAATATTTCAAGATAGCAGTTCATACTATATCAACTAGCTGGAGGCAAGCAAATGGAGGGGCTGGTGGAATCAGCGGAATGAGATGAAGGCTTCCTAGTTTAAATGCCTGTGTTGTTTCTTATATTAATAATGAATATTTCAAAAACAGGAAGATCACAGAGGAACCCTTAGCCAGTCAGGAGGTTGACTAGAGATCAAAGGCAGAGTTTGCTAATATATAGATCTGGGAAGAAATCCATGCGTGGCGATGCCCCTAAAAGGACATTATATGTTTGTGAATGGGCGAGTGTGACCCTACAAAGACACAGCAAAGGATTCAAAGTGAAACCTGTGTCTGCTGGGTTTCTGAGCTTTGTGTCTTCCTATTTTAAGAACCAAGAACCGGGGCTTACAAAACATTATACCACCTTCATTTACAAGGCTATGGCCTTGAGCCAAAATACAAATAAAACTAGTGATGATGATTCAAGAACTTCTGAGGCAAGTGTCCTTTGACCCCAGATCCAGACTGGGTTCCTGTCAGATGTCTAATTACTCCAGCCAGCTGCTAGGGTGCATCCACACCCGCCTGCCTTGGGAAATCAGTCAGGTTTTATGGCTAGCAGGGCGAGGGCAGGAGCACTTTGGGGCTTTGCTCCTTAGAGGAGGGACCCTGAGGTCTGCCCTTGGCCCTGCTTGCTAACCTGGCTCTGCTGAATAGCCACCATGCATGCAGACTCATATTTACATATATCTTGCTTTACATGCATTATCTGCCCATTATACGTCAGGATCCCTTTCAGCCTCAGACAATGCAAAATGAAAAGGACCCACTGATACCCCAGCAGATTTTTTAAAAAGACCCAGATGGCATCCCCTCAGGTCCGTAAAATATTTATCTGATATTGATGACGAGGGACCCCAGAGTGCAAGGTCACTGCCCTTCTCCCAGCTAGGCCACTGCAAGGGAGAGAAGCCCAGGAAAGTCTTGCGTGGGCCCTGTGCCGGCTGCTTTGATATCTTTCCTCCTTTGAAGGCAGAATGCCTGTAGCTCAGCGACTGCCAGGTGCCAGGAAGCAAGCCCTACGGCCCTAGTCCGGGCCTGGCTTCCCAGTGTACATAGTCATTCTCACTCTGGATCTTCCTGCAATAGGATTCCCCCAACTGTGGACAGACGGTGTGAGCTCTCAGATGGATGGGGTGCTTGTGGTAGCAGAGCAAGGTGAGCAGGGGGTGTAATGTAGTCCATATTTATACGCCATGAGTTATACATATATATACCCCAGATCAGAAAAGGAGTCAGCATGTGCAAAATCCATGTCTCACTTTTTATATGGCAGTGTCAATGTGGGAAACCTCAATATTTCTTCTACAGTATATGGAAAAGAAATTATGTAAATAAATAACCATTACTGTTCAGGCCCTCCCGGCTTAGCCTTTGTAGTGCAGAGAATGTATTTCATGTTGTGCATTCAGAAGAGTTTAGTGTTCAGGAAATATAGATGTAATCAGCTGCCATAACTAGAAATCAAAGTTATTATTGTACTGAAAATGGATTTATTGTATTTATGTTAACTAGATGGCTCCTTTCAGGGAAGGTCTCATTTATTTGAGGGAATATTTAGGTGTATGAATTAATGAATTTTTTTAAAAAAGTAAGTTCAGGTCATGACCTAGCCTTTGGATGCTGTCCAGAATATTAAGGATTAAGCATACCATCCGGAGGCCAAATGTGAAAACCACCACAGGGAACCCCTGTGCCAGCTTCAAATACTTAACCGGAGCAAACCTCATTGGACAATATGTCTAAAACTGTCTTTTCCATCATTCAAAGTTTGCTCAAAAGTTGGATGACTTTGAGAAGGCTTCCCATGAATTCCCTTCTGGCTGGCAATCAAAACAAGTTTAGTCAAAAGTGGAAATGTGTTGTATGAAAGAGGGGGGTGAATTACTACTGACAGCTCTATTTCCATTTTCAGATACTCTGCTTGCAATTTCCCAGCAAAATAATGTTATTGTTCACTTCTTGCCTCCCCCTTGCACCTTGAAGACTTGAAGAAACTTCTTTGGGACTTTTTTTTTTTTTTAAGAAACACTTTTCACAGGGATGTTTTAGGATGAAAAGTTGAAAGAAAAGCTAAGTAATTCCACAGTCTCCTCTGCAGCCTGCACAGTCCTCGCCTCTCTCTGGGAAAGGGCAGGGGATCAGAAAAGTCAAGGGAGTTCAAAGAACCTTAGGAAGGACAAGGACAAGGCAGGGGAGACCTTTCTTGAGAAGACCTCTGTCCAGCTTCAAGTCACATATCTGCTTCAAGACACCTCACTGGAGGAGATTTACAAACCCCAGCCTCCCTGACACTGGCTTGCTTCCTGATTAATTTGGCTAAAGAGCCAGGGAGTGGAGAGCCAGCCAGGCCCAGGCCTGCCAGAACTAACGCAGCCTGGTCATTGCTTCCCAGGCTCTTTGTCACTTGTGAAAAACACGTTTCTATCAAGAAGACTTATTAAGATAAAACGCATTCAAACACCAAGGAGGCTATTCAATAAATCTTCCATTTGTTTTAAGGTTCTCACTTTATCCTCTTGCAAAGAATAACTCCCGCTCCCACTAGCAGACCTGTATTTGCACTGAAAGTAAAAGGGGGCAGTCCAAGTCCACAGCTCTGGCCACCCTGCATACCAATGAGATGCTCTTGTCTAAATAAATTATCTGCTGCTCAGATCGATATTAATACTACATTTGCTACATTACAATATTGTGCAAATTTAAGAGTCATTTTAATACAACGTAAATACGATTCTTCACGCATGAAAGCCAAGAAATACTGATAGATTACACCACTCACGGCTCC